TAGTGATTGTGACAAAGATGATGGCGAGTACACCCAAGTGCAACAGTGTCTGTGGCTGTACAAAGGAGAAGGTCACATAGTGTGTGTACATTGTACTGCTGCACTGCGGTGGCAGAGGAAYGATCTTCGACATAAAGGAGATTGCRGACAGTTTGATGTGGCAAGAGAACARCATCATAGAGTAAGAAATCAGTAATATCAATCATGGCATGGACCATGACACCGTCGTTCCACACCTCCCAATGGTCAGAGGCGTGTACAATAGCCATGTAATGGCCAGGCCCGTGCACAGTGCAGGTAGAGATGTGGGATGGAGGATTAAACAACTCACCTGGTAGAGCATGGCGTAGCTCAAGCTGCCGGTTCCTCATCGCTATTTCTAGGACAGCAATGGTAAAACCTCCTTCCCTGGTGTAATTACGATGCTCTGGCTGTAGGTCGGGGGGATCAGCGAGATTAGCGAGATCAACATCAAGCTGCAGGGCAATTGCAAGGAAATCTGATGGTGTATACAACGACCGATTGAAAATGTGAAGGCAGTTATTAGTTGCAGTCATACCACAGAGATTGGCGGGGATCTCAGGCTGGTTTGGTTGGTCAGTCATTTGTAGATCACCCGTGGGGTCTGCGCAGGGTGGTGCACAAGTATGCGGTTCATCCATATGATCCTGGTCAGCCATTTGTGAATCCCTCGTGGGGTCTGCGCCATGTGGGATTAAATGCAGTCCAAGCAGATCATGTTCCAGTCCCTCAGCGTTCGGGGCCACACAGGGTGGGGCACAAGTATGCGGTTCATCCATATGATCCTGGTCAGCCATTTGCAAATCCCCCGTGTGGTCTATGCCTTGAGGGGTTAAATGCAGTCCGAGCTGATCATGTTCCAGGCCCTCAGCGTTTGGGGCCGCATGTTGTACAGCTGGGGGACAAACGAACATGGAAGGGCATAAAACATGGTGTTGTGGCTGTGTGCAAGCAGTTGGACTGTCTGCAGGAGGCATAGGAGCGGATGTATCCGATTGGGACAACGGAACCGCAACAACCTGTGGAGGAGGCACAGAGAAAATTGGGGTAGACAAAGAAGCAGGCCGCTGATCCCTGGCCAAGTGGCGATGTTGTGCATGTCGTCGACGATGATACACAATAAGAGGAGTGGCGATGTTTCTAACAGAAGATGAGGATGTCACTGGCAATGAAGGCGGAACAATGGGAAGAATAGAAACCAGAGAATCGGTTCTCAAACGAGACCGTGGAGGAGATGGGGGTGGCGAGGAGGAACGCAGTCGTCTGCGGCCAAGCACAGAAAGGGATGAAAGGGGGGTGGATTGGGCAGGATGTCGGAACATAGGACGCGAGTGTCGGGCTGGGGTAGAGGAAGCTATACCAGTAAAAACTATAGCATGAGAAATTCGAGCTACAAAAGCAGAGGAAGTGGTAAAAAGTGGAACCGCGGCAGAGACAACTGTTGTAGCAGGAACCGCAGTGGTAAAAAGTGGAACCGCACCAGAGACAACTGTTGTAGCAGGAACTGCAGCAGAGGCAACTTCCGTGGTAGGGACCGCAGCGGAGGCAACTTCCGTAGCAGAAACTGCCGGAGTGAAACCCGAAGTTGAAACAACAGCAGTTGAAACAACAGCAGTAGAAACTGCAGCAGTGGAGACCACAGCGGTGGAAGCGACGGCGGTGGGAACCGCAACAGTGGGAACTGCATTAGCAGCAGATGAACAAGCAGTGACAGGACGAGAGCGATGTGGGGATAAAGAAGAAAGTGGGTGATGCAAGGACCATCGCAGCATGCGTCGGAACCACTGAGAGAGACGGGTGACGTGTGTAGGATAGCGACGTTGGCGGGAGCGTGTGTAGCAGGTCCATCTTTAGCGAGGGTTGGTGGGGAATGGCCTCGAGAAAGCATGCGGCGAGTGAGTGTTGTCGCTGCAGTTCGGAAGTCCTGCCAATTATTGCAGATGCGTTCAAATCTGGTCAATTGCCCAGTATATGCAAGGAAAATAAGCAACAGTGAGATGACAAATTCCAAATTACATCATCACATTGAAAGCCAGATGGTCACACTGTGTCTAGAGAGCAGCATTGCACCAATAATACACCAATGGAGGTTCGTAGTACTGAAAACCAATGTCAAGGAGAGCTTCTCTCTCCGCCACAACACAAGAGTGCAGTCCCTTCACACTCCTACTTGGCGCTCAGTGCCCAGCCTACTCCTACACAGCTAAGATCAACCTACTAGTAGACAATGCAACTGTTAACATCAGCGGCAACCCGAAGTACTTGAAGATGTCGCCCTTATGCAGACCATCACCAATACAAGGTATGTGCCCTCACATCATCATCATCATCATCCTTCGCCCTTCCCTGGCTTTACACCCACGCATGTCCTCTCTTACACCCGAAGACCACCCCTGCGCCTCACTGTACCTCCAAGCCCAGCCCGCTATGAAGGCTGGCTATGGCGCTGCCCTCAGCAGCGCCCTGCTTCACCACACGACCGCACGTGCGCAGCCTCTTGCTCCCAGTGCCAGCAGCCAGCCCGCTAAGTTATCGCTCCAGCACCGCTGCCGCCAGCCAGCAAGTGACCCAACGAGGCTACCAGGGGAGAGCTCTTTCCTTTATGGAAAGAGCTGGCCTGCTCGCGCAGCCTGGCTGCACTGGCCTGGGCCCAGAAGCTTCCGGAGAGCCCCAGGATGCTGCCTTTGCTCTGCAGCAACTGGGCCTCGTTCGGTTGGGCCTCCCAACTGTCAGTGTATGAGGTTGCGATTCATGCCCAGGGCCTGCATTCTTTGGAAAGGCCCGGTAGACCGTGGAAATGTCTTTGTTACTCGGCCTGTGTTTCTTTCAACCAACTGGCGCGTCGCAACTGCCTGGAACCCAAATATGAAATTGACAGTAAAAGGCCTCTTGTGATAAGTTATGGTTGCCTTCACTTAGGGCGGGCACCACTGCAACCGGGGCCCCTTAGGCGTGCCGAGGACCCAGATCCTCGCATTCCCTCCTCCTTTACTTC